TACATTTTTCTACAAGATAATATTTTTATTTGGGAATGAAAAAGAAATTTTAACAGCTATGCTACTCATTATATGCCCAAGTATTACTGACATCCTTAGAAATTTACTTCCCTCTCATGAGAATCTCCTATTACAAGGATATGGCTCTCCACACAGGGTGTGCAATGATTTAAAATGCAATCTCTAACCATGACATATTTCTTTCTTCCTGCCCTGCCATGAAAGTACATGTGATATGGCTTGGCTCTGTGTCTCCACCCAAATCTCATCTTATAGCTCCCATAATTCCTTTGTGTTATGGGAGGGACCCAGTGGGAGATGATTAAATCATGGGGGCAGGTTTTTCCTGTGCTGTTCTCATGATGGTGAAATCAAATCTCTCACCACATTTGATGGTTTTAAAAGTGGAAGTTTCCCTGCACAAGCTCTCTTTTTGCCTGCTGCCATCCACGTAAAATGTGACACACTCCTCCTTGCCTTCCACCATAATTGTGAGTCCTCCCCAGCTATATGGAACTGTAAGTCCAACGAAACTCTTCCTTTTGCAAATTGCCCAGTCTCAGGTATGTCTTTATCAGCAGCATGAAAACAAACTAATACAATATGAGTTCACAAAAGTAATCCTTTTTCATGAATTGTAACAAATACTTATTTAAAGTGAATTACAAATGTTGATCATTACTGAAATGGAGTAACACGTGCACGAGAATTTATGTTTTGGCAGATGGCTGAGAATTCCTATAATAAAAAGTTTATTTTAAAATCAAATAGAATTTCATTTCTTCTTTAAAATAAGCACTGACCTTTTTATGGATGCTACTGCTACTGTTGTCAAGCGAGTAGTGATCAGAACATAAATTGTTAGGGCATCTTAATCCCAAGAAGAACGAGGAGCGATTGCTCACAGCTTTATTGTTGGAGACATTAACAGAATTTCTCTAGGATACTAAGGACCTAGTAAAGTTTATTCCATGTTAAAAACTGCACTGAAAGACAATGTGCATAAAATAAACTTATGAGCTAAAATGTAGAAAACAGGTTGTGTCATCATTCTAAGCTTGTTCTTTCCATCTGTCTGGAAAATCACACTACAAATATCCCACTAATTTCAACAGCTTGGAAGCAGATGGACTCTATCTACATGCAGACAGTATGGACAAACAGAGCAGCAGATATCACCACTACGCACACATGCAACAGAGGCACTGATACAGATGAAAAAGCAGACATAGCAGACAGGATGTTATTTCATGGGCTACTCTCCCAAGTGACTATGCATAAATCCTTTTATACAGATATGTTCCAAGTACATATTATTACTAATTGGCTTTCAATCTCAATTGAATTGATACTATATCTCTGGAAGAGGATATATTTCCATCACCTATAGATGGTGTTTCCACAGGTATTTTTTAAACTTGTTCCATATAAACATGTTTACTATTAACCTGTAATTTACCTCTAGATATCTATCAATTTGGTTGTATAAGATTTTATCATCACTAAATATAGATGCTATCACCTTTTCTTTGCTAGGTAATTTAAGCAGGCAATGAAACTAGACTCCTATCTTTTGCCATATACAAAAATTAAATAAAAATGGATTAAAGACTTAAATCTAAGGTTTCAAACTACCAAAAGGAAACATTGAGAAAACTCTCTAGGACATTGGAATGGGCAAAGATTTCTTGAGTAATACACCAAAAGTACAGGCATGCAAAGCAAAAAATGGACAAATGTCAAGTTAAAAAGCTTCTGCACTGCCAAGGGAACAGTCAACAAAGGCAACCTGCAGAATGGGAGAAAATATTTGTAAACTACCCATCTGCCTAGGGATTAATAATCAAAATACATAAGGAGCTCAACTCTACAGGAAAAATAAATCTAATAACCCAATTAAAAATGGGCAAAAGTTATGAATACACATTTCTCAAAAGAAGACATAAATGACAAAGAAGTATATGAAAAGGTGCTCAACATCATTGATCATCAGAGAAATGCAAATCAAAACTACAGTGAGATCTCATCTCACCCCAGTTAAAATGGCTTTGATCCAAAGACAGGAGATGCTGGCAAGAAAGTAGAGAAAAAAGAAGTCTTGTATACTGTTGGCGGAAATGTAAATTAGTGCAACTATTATGGTGAACAGTTTGGAGGTTCCTCAAACAAACAGACAAAAAAGTAGAGCTACCATATGATCCAGCCATCCCACTGCTAGGTATATACCCAAAAGAAAGAAAATCAACATATCAAAGAGGTATGTGCTCTCCCATGTTTACTGCAGCACTATTAACAATATCAAAGATTTGGAAGTAACCTAAGTGTCCATCAACAGACGAATGGATACAGAAAATGTGTACCTATACACAATGGAGTACTATTCAGCCATGGAAAAGAATGAGATCTTGTCATTTGCAACAACATGGATGGAACTGGAGATCATTATGTTAAGGGAAAAAAGCTAGGCACATAAAGACAAACTTTGAGTGTTCTTACTTATTTGTAGGGTGCTAAAAGTTAAAACAATTGGATTCATGGGGATAGAGAGTAGAAAGAAGGATGGTTACCAGAGGCTGGGAAGGGTAGTGAGGCAGTATGGGGGAGGGAGGATGGTTAATGGACAAAAAACATAGTTAGAAGGAATAAATAGTATTTTATAACAAAAACAGGGTGACTATAGTCAACAATAACATTGTACATTTTAAAATAACTAAAAGAATATGATTGGACTGTAACGTGAAAAAAGGATAAATGCTTGAGGTGATAGACATTTACCCTGATGTAGTTATTACACATTGTATGTCTATATCAAAATATCACATGTAACTCATAAATATATATACCTCCTATGTACCTGCAAAAGTTAAACATAAAAATAATACACAACAGGCATTATTAGCTGCTGTGACACCAACCACCAGCAGGTGGAGGCCAAGGGCTCTGCCTGACACCTCTGAGGTTCCTTACCTTAACAGGAGCAATACCTGAGCCTCAGCACATCAGCAATTTACCTGATTTCCGTCACATAAAAAAGAACTGCAGCATGCAGAAAGTGG